AGTTTACAAACTCTACATATATTGTTGTTGTTGGGTGCCATCGGGTCAGTTCTAACTCATAGTGACCCCATGTGGTAGAGTAGAACTCTCCCTTAGAGTTTTCCTGGCTGTAATCCTTATGGGAGCAGATTTTTCTTGTGTGGAGCCTCTAGGTGAGTTCAAAACACTAACCTTTTGGCTAGCAACCCATCCCTAACATAACACAGTGAAATGAAATTCACTGGATTATGTAATTCAATTATATAATTGTCCTGCTTCGTATATGTTTACATATGTTTACAATGTTCCTCTATAACTTTTGGATAAAGGCCAATTTCATATAACATCAAAGGCCTTCCATGTGTCAGTCCATTTCTATGTCTCCCACCACACTTCTCATGAGATGCGCTTCAAACACATACCTCACTGCTAAATTGAGGTTCTTGAATTTCCTGGGATGTGCCCATTCACTCTCACTTCTGAGATTTGAATGTTCTTTTCTTTCTGCCCAGGCTTCCCTTATTTAACCTACTTATCCTTCAGGATTTGACTGGACCATCACAACTCCAACTCTCCTGGTCTGGGATATCCCCCCTCAAATATGCTCCTGCAATATCCTATACCAAAACACACCTGAATCAAAACTCACCTCATCACCACTGTCATTCTCTGTGGGCCTTAAACTCTAAGAGTGATACTAATGCTCAGAGCTTAATCTTTCTGTAATGATATTCACTATACTAAGGACAGAACCAGGCAGGTAATCCAAATCAAACCAAACTTACTGCCATTGAGTCGATTCTAACTCATAGTGGACCCCCATTGGGTTTCCAAGGCTGTAAATCTTTAAGGGAGCAGACTGCCTCATCTTTCTTCCATGGACGGGCTGGTGGGTTTGAATCACCAACCTTTTAGTTAGCCACCAAATGCCTTAACCATTACACCACAAAGCCTGCTTCTTCTTCTTGTTGTGTGCCGTCGAGTCGGACCCGACTCATAGCAACCCCTCCTTGGGTTTCCAAGGCAGTATCACTACGGAAGTAGATTGCCCCATCTTCCT